CATATTGGTGGAAAAGTTGCGGAAGGGTTTGCAATAATTATTACTTAAAAAATATTTGATTACAAATTTATTTTACCTTAAAATAATAAAATATACTTCATGGGGATATTTTCGAAACAGAGGCAAAGCAAAGTGTTATGAGCGTTGAAACTGTTTGTATAATAATAAATGCAAATGGATTTGTATAAATTTGTATAAATCCTATATAAATTTTTTTTGTAATATATAACGTTGAAACTAAAAGTTTTTAAGAGATAAATATGCAAAGATTGAAGATAAGTATAACATTGATTTTGACTCTTCAAAGTTAGTTGCACAGAATCTCTTTATTATATAACATATAACAAATCGGGCTTCCTAAAGTCATAATTGTATGATTTTATGTCGGTCACCAACGAGTTTTGAATTAAATCTTGTATTAATTTGCAACAACTGAAATTTCATGCTTTGCTCAGACCAATTTATTACGTTTCATAAAACAAGTTAATAAAGAATTGTATTTCATAGAATAACTTCGTCTGTGCTAATACGTTTGTTCATTAGTCTACACGTATGCATATACGTATACATATATATAATCATAATTTTATTTAAATAAAAGCTCATATTTTTTAAATTTTAGCAGAAGCATCTACAGATATTTTTGGTAATTTCAAAAACAGGAAGTTTACAATTCATCGTTTTCATAGGTTTGGAAGTTCTTATTTTAAAGCAGTACGGTATGTTCTTGACTTGAATACACTTTTGATTTCTTTAGCAAGATTGTGAGAAAAAGAATGTAAAAGTCAACAGAAGTACATAGTATAATAAAACGAACAACGCAGATATAAATAGCGATCTACTTTAGTAGATAGTTTTGTTTTGAGATAACAACAAATTATTATAGACCTCGAATACATATAAGCGTCCATAAATCTCAACAGGAAAGGAATATTTTTCAACATATACGTATAAGTGTTCTTACTTAGGTCAGAAAATAGATTTTGTTCAATGCATATAGTTCGTAGGGTTGAAATGATTAATGGTACTTACTAGCATAAATGTTTGTGAGATTAAAATTTTTTAAATTCTTGTTACGACTGTTCGCGGAAAGACGCGGTCGCGAGAAAGACGCATGAGCGAGAGGCGTAAATTCTCGCTACGATTTTGCTAATCGACGCGGCGAAATAGTCGTTTCCCTGTTTCGATTAAGATAACAGAGGTAGTTCAATGAATTTAACACTGTATTAACAGGTTAATATAGCTTGTATATTTAACAATAATGAATGTAATAATATAAACGTCACAAATTATTTAGCGAAGAATATAGTTAATATGTTACAGAAATTCGACCCGACTTTACGATATCTCCTCTTGATGTCTGCGTTAGACTGAGTAATCTGGATTTTCTTCGTCTGAACCTCTCGACGTATAACGTTTGACTCTTCAGAAGGGACTGATTGCCCTTCGATCATTTCTTTGTCTTCTCTGGGAGACGATCCCCACTACGCCCGGGTCACGCCACCGTTCGCGCCTATGATTACGTATGCCACCTTCTTTATGTGTATGACATAACGGACCGAAATCGACGTTTCCAGAACTCGCTGCTTGGTGACAACTATGCGCTCGTCGATACATTGTATATCTTCCGTCGGGCAGATAAGACGATCCGTCTACCACACTGTAAAACCGCGAGCGACGGTTAGAACTACGGTCTACAGTAAGCCTCGTGGCGTAACAATTCTTTCGATCTTAATTTCTTCGAATTAAATTGTAACATCAATTCCTTTATCTAGAGATAATAATCACATTTACTGGTTAAATCTATTATATTTTTTAATTTATCGTTAACTCCGAATTTTTTCAATAAAAATAATGACTAATGGTGAAACCTGTTACATATATTTTTACTTCAATTTAATTATCAAGTTATTCAAAAAAAGTAGGTTACAGTTATTACTCATAGAAATTGAAAATGTAGATTTTACATGGAGATTCTTAATTATTTGTATGTCGGAGAAACGTCGAGGATGGGGTTGGGAGCGTTAGATGATTCTTCATTGAAATTAGCAATTGTTGCGGTATAGTAACAGTACGGTTTATTAACACAAGTATGGGTAACACAGGTTCGACGATCAAACACGACGATTAAGCGCTTGCGGCACTAGTGACAATGATCTTAGGTTCGATAACGAATCCGCAGTCAACGGGATGATAGATGAACGTTCTCACGAAATCTAAGTCTGAATAGTTGCTGATTGTAAAGACGTTACTCTTTAGTCGATGAGGTCGCCAGAAAGAATGCCTTTCCCGTTCCAATGATGCCACAGAGGAAAACTATCACGGGGTGTGTTTAAGGACACGAGATCATCGGATTTGTCGAGGAAAGCCTTCGTTCGGAAAGTGAGGGAACTGGAAGTTCCTGTTAATTGGATAATTTCTATGTTCTGGTGGTTGAAGAAGGATGCTAACCTTGACGTGGGAGGCGTCGTCCGTGAGAAAAATAGATTTCCCCTATCTTCCCTTAGTTGGGACAAAGACTTTGTCTGTTTGAAGGACTTTAGTTAACTAAATCTTAAAATTTGTAATTTGTCCTCCGGTTAGCTCAACATGTACTGTAGAGATGCATCGACATCTGGTAATCATCTTCAAGCCCAAAGAATAGGGTCTGTGTGTGGCGAGCCACGAGACAGAAACCGTTGGAATGTTTACTGTCGAGTGTCGCTACAACTATTTTTTTTTAAGGAGTGCTATACGATTACTCTACGCCTCTATTAGGTAAAAACGTTCATCCCGTAACCGCGGCTATGTTCGGCGACTAGTTGTCGCCCCGAGCCTAAGCTCACCATTACAAAATCTCGGATAATTATAATCAAGTTAAATTATACAGGCTAAAGTATTGGGGATTTTCCGAAGAATTCCAAGGGGAAGGCCCCGGTGTCCTTTCATCTCCGACATATATATGGTTGGTAACTGGCGGTACAAGCGGGAAGGGGGTGACTCTAAAGTCGAAAATATAGAATACAAATTTTAAAAAATTTTTTTTTTTAATTTTTCCATTGAGACCACGATCTACAGTGAGATCCGTTATAACGTACCGCACGCGTACCGAGCGAAAATCCAAAGTCGATTTTCTCGAAAACAAAGCCTCAAACGAAAAATTTTTATTCTATATTTTCGACTTCTTTTTCGCGTAGAATAACCCCCTTTCCGCTTGTACCACCAGTTACCAACCACCTTGCATATATTATATATGTATATATATAGAGAAATAATAATAATAAATAATAATACATATAAATAATAATAATAATAATAATAATAATAATAGAAATAATAATAAAAGAAAAAAATAAAAACTATGTAAATACCATACAGTGTTAAAAGAGCACGTTAACAAATTTTTCAAATAAATTCATTGACAACTTTCTTCTTAATTTCGGGTAACTAGTCATTCTTAGTTATTGGGGATTCCATTAATAACTTAAGAAATAGTAATTTAGCAACTTTATGACTTAATCCGATTTGACAGATGCGAGGAGCAGATTAGCACAGAATGTCATTTTCTAGATCAAATTTCCGTCAGTCATTTATTTCTTTCTTTTATTTTCAACTATTTGCATTCGTCGGCGTCAGTTTCAGTGGGCGTTCTATTAAACCAGCGTAAGAATTAGAAATGCTCTAAATTTTATCGGTCGCGAATCTTTTTTCCATTACAGTGTAAGCAATGTTAAAAGATCTCTCACAATTCAAATATTAATAGACTTAGGCAAATACAGAAAACATGATTTTTCCGCAAAAAAGGAAATGCTAAGAATAATTGGGAACTAAATCAAACTAGAATTTCTAATAGCAGTATTATGGACAAGCTTATGCATTATTTATATAATATATTTGAAAAATGATTATTTGAATAACATGTTATCTTATTTAGCTATACATCATTTTGAACTAGTTGTGAATATGAAATGATCTTTTTCTACATTATTTCATTATTTTGTATTTGAATAAATTTTGATTTAAGTAATTTATTAAATAGTTTCTAATGCTTTTACATCAACATTTTACATTGCGGCAGAAATACAAGTTACATTACAGTGCCTCACGAACAGAAACAAATTTACCATAATATGGATATTTTTCAAGAACAATTCTGAGTATATTATTTTGAGAATCTGATATTGTAAAAATTCAAGTAGAAATTAGTACACCTAAATAAAATAGCAGATAATCTCACCACAACCTCCTTATGTCAGTTTTTACTTATGTTACTTTTTATATTATCTGAATGATTTAATTAATTTAAGAATGAAATCATTCCAAAATGATTTATTTGAATTTTACGCAAAATGAAGTTATAGTAAAATAATAGCAAAATAATTAATTATTTTACATTGTTACATTTTATTTCATTCCAAATAAAATGTGCCTATGCCTGATTATGAATTTACATTACAGTTCTAATGCATTCGAATCTATAAATTATTATCTGGCCTATATTAGAATATATGTATAATTTATAGAATATATAAATCGTGAGAGTTATAGACATCCATAGAAATAGGGTAGTTGAAATTTCATTTTTTGCTAAACCATCCACTTTGATCGCTTTATTCACAAACTCTAAATTCATTAAACGATTCATTCTCAACCTAAAATCTCAATCGACCCGTAAATCCATTATTTGCCCCTTGTTACACGTTCCTTGTCCAAACTTGACTCACTCAACCTTTTTAGTTAACGGAACAAGATGGAACAAGAAAAGCAGCATTCGAAAAACAAACAACGAAGAAGCACGGAGCGGGAGCTAAATAACAGTGGCGAGAACTTGGTCGAAGGTGGAAAAATTCGTGGCACGTCGGGAGCTGAGGATTCGATAAATTCATGGGCTTTCGAGGAGGGTAAATGACGAGGCGTGCCAACAGCGCGATGCTGGAATCGCTTGGAGCCGCGTGCGTGCTCGACCCAACGATAAATTAATTCTTGCCAGTGAACGACACGATGCCTTTTGAACACACGCCAGTGGCTTGGATCGATTCGAACCACCCCTTTAAGGAAACGCTTTGAACTCACCTTCTCGGTAGGGTACTAGACCATGCAGTGGACAGGTGTCAGATATACATACAGTGTAGGACAAAATAATAAGAGGCTTTACATACGATGAGCCACTCAGAAAAGACATTGATCAACTCCAAAATTGGAAAATATAGAAAGGTGATTATATTGTAAAAATTATTCTTTAAACTTATCTTGGACTTTATTATCTATTATTTGTATCATCTCCTTACAATGAATTTATGGAAGTAAGTCATTTGTTTTTTACGGATCGAACATCAATCGTGTGAATATCTTAACATCAACCGGTTGGACAATGAGATTGAGAAATTGATTTGAAATGGAGTTGACCAGTTGGTCTTCTGAGAAACTTATATGTAAAGACGAACACAATACGTTTACACGATGTAAAAGTATCGCGCTAACTAATATTGTTAAACCAATTAAAAAAAATCGTGTCAGACTTTGTTGCTTTTGGAAAGTGTTTGCCAGTGTTTTTAATGAAATTAATGATTACTTTTATTAAGACAGAAACATGATTACATGCGATAGATCATAATTGTGGAACCTGTTATGAATATGTTATGCGTGTTATAGGAGACACTTTTTATCCACTATATTATCGACTATATTATCCACTATATTATCCACTATATTATCCATTATACATCATTATCTTTAACGCTTATTATATGTTTAAGATGGTTACTCGCGGTGCATAATAATTTTTCATTAAATAAATATGTTGTTATTTTTATATTAGGAGGTAGGATCGCATTAGTTATTACTTCGTTATTCGGATAAAAAGACACCACGTTTCTTGGAGCAGAAAAACCTTTATTGTGCACACTCGGAAGGGACACGAACGAATGAATGACCGAGCGAAAGCGTCACAAGGAAGTCTTAAAAAAACTATCGATCAGGTCTATCGACCGCGTCTAGCAACACCCCCTAGTTACTTCTCTTGTAACTAGCCGTTGGCATATAGATGCCGAACGAGAACTCACGTTGCCATTTTCAACAAAATATTTGTACAAAATTCATATAATGTTACATAAGATGATCATAACAGCCATACACCTCCATTTCCTCTCCATTTTTACTTTTCATTCATTTTCATTCATTTTATGAACATTTCATAAAAATTTCATTCTTTTTTCCTTCATATTCAAGTACTCTTTAATTCTTTCTTTTTTGTGCGAACGTTTACTTCGTTGCAATTCGACGTAAAACGGACGTGATCTGTAGAATTCATAAAACGCGTAAAACAATTGAACGAAAAAATGTCGAATCGTTTGATGGAAGTTCTTGAAAGCGATTTTCAGTATTCATATCATAATGGATGGATACACCGAACCACGAGATCTGATGAAAGTTTATGAAATGTCGTTCCGGAACGACTGTCGGGCGGAAATTGATAAATCCTTGCTGGTAATTGCTATACTTAATCGTTGCGTGTTTACTCCATCAAAGATCGATACCGAATAGTTTAATCAACGATAAATTTGTTCTAAGTAGATGTAATTTAATTTGCTTTACGTAATTAGAAAAGTTGAAGCAAGTAAAGTGTTGTGGTTTTACCAAACACGAAAAAAGTGGAAAAATTATCTTCTTTGTAGAAATGGAATCTAACGCAAATAAATATCTGTATGTTAATATGAGAATTCATTAATAAAATAAATTTTAAATACTTATTGTTTTACTTTATTAAATGATTTTCTTTCATTTCGTAAATTTTGATTTTCTTTAATAACGATTATTGTGCATTAGAATTATCGAGATAAATAAATATTATAATATTATTTTCTAATATTTGAAATATTTATCTCCTTTTTCTGAGATTATTAGAAATATAATTTTAATTTTCATTACTTCTCTCAAGGCTATGAATTTATAAGAAATTTATAGATTGCTACAAGTTCAGTGTGTGCGCGCGCACGCGCGTATCATATAAATACTTGTCATTCGATGTTTGTTGTAAGATTTTAATAGGAAATATATTAGAATAATTAGAAAAAAATTATCTAATCCAGGGCGACACATAGCAAAAAATCTAAAATACACATATTGCCTATTTTCATTCATGGTTCGCACACGAAATTTCAAACATAATGGATAAGAATCAATTAATATTTGACAAAGAAAATAAAAACATGTTTCTAAAGGTCAAATTTGATATATATTATTTAAACAGCTACTTCTTATCAAAAATTTACAGGATATCATTTTTCCACAAAAAATTTCAACAAAATTTTTTCCTACGATCAACATTTTTCAAGATATTTAAAAGATATCCTTTAATTTTTAACTTCGAAAGTTGTTTTTATTTCTTTAATATCGATGCTTGTAAATAAAGAAAAGAAAGTACCATTTTATTATTCATTGAACTCTGTGAGTAACGACTAACGGAACATTTCTCTTTGAATTAGCTCTCAAACAAATTTTGCTAAAATCAGTACGTGTGGACTGACTATATTCTCTCGTTAGAACTGAAAGAGTTATGTGATATACTAAGACATTTAATTTTTAGTAACTTACACAATTGATAAAAAATGTAAAGTATGAAACTGTATTATATTGGGTCGCTATTGGAAAGTTTGTGTCCATTTTCGGTAGGTGGCTTAGGAGGACAGGTCTGAATATATCAGAATGATCGAGAACAAATGATATGTGTACATATTCTAAAAGGTAATATTTTAGGCATCTTTAGAAAACAGTTTGATTAGGATACATTAACTTTTGTTAGTTTTATACGTTCTTAAATACGGAAGAAAACAAATTGCACTATAGGCATTTGATGCCGGAAAGGCAGAAATGCCACAAAAGTAGCCACTTCAAAAGCCAGTATTCATCAGAAAGTTATGCTCTGTGTCTGGTGGGACCCGAAGGAAATCCTGTATTATGAGCTTCTACAAAATAACCAGATGATAAATTTGGAAAAGTATTGCTCGCAATTAGACGAATTAAAGACAGCAATTGAACAAAAACGTTCAGAACTGGCGAATCGAAAGGGTGTCGTGATTCATCAGAACAATGCATAGCTTCGTGTGTCTTTGACTACCCGACAAAAGCTATTGGAGCTTGGTTGGGATGTGCTACCACACCCACCGTATTCACCAGACATTGTACCCTCAGATTTTCACTTATTTAGGTCATTACAAAATTCACTTAATAGCAAAAACTTTAATTCTTTGAACGACGTAAAAAAATCACAGTGAAAAGTTTTTCTTCGAAAAAGCTGAGAGGTTCTGGAAAGAAGGACTCATCAAGTTACGTGAAAGATAGAGAAAGGTTGTAGGACAAACTAGTACCTATATAATTCAATAAATAAATATCGGAATTTAAATGTGCTGCAATTAAATTTTCTTTAAAAATCGGAACGAACTTTCCGAGCGAGCCAATAGAAGAGCTCGTTCTCAGAAATTCATGGATTGCATGTTCCTTTGTTTTCTATCACGAAACAGGAGGTATTGTATAATAAGTGAAGCAGGAAAATGAAGCGGAAGATTTCAAAAGAGAACATTATTGACAGTCACTGCTCACAGAGTTTAATAACTAATAAAATGATATTTTCTTCCTTTTCTTTTAACATTATAATGCTAACACATGATTGGCTATAATGTTCAATGCAAAAGAGTTTATTCGCCTGAAAATAATGGATCACCGATTCTATTACCTTCGACTCTTTCGAAATTATTGACTTACAAATTATAAACGATCGAGAATAAAACTTAACAACTTCCAGTTCTCAAAACACTATCAAACTGTATATTTTGATAGAAAAAGAACATTTTAAACAATCTTTATTATTTTATATTATCTATGAATTCCATTTAGAGTTTATAAAGCCTAAACGATATAGATATTAATGGACTGTTAATGTAATTGCATAGGGTTGTGATTTTCGGAATACAAGAGGTTATATAGGGTGTCAGATTCATTTTATAAAACATTGTTAGGATATTCTGTAAGTAAAGATAAAAATAAAACGTTATAAACTTACACAGACTTTATGAAAAAGTTATAGTAAAAATACGCAATACTATCGGGCTTACTTTTTGTCCAATAAAACGTTGAGGTGTTGAAATATTTTTCTATATGTAAATTTCTGGTGGCGTAATATCTAGTGATCTTAGATACCAAAAAATCAAACTACCTCGACCTTTATCGTTGAGATTTATTCCGTTATAACTCAAAACCAATCTGTTAAAACTAATTTATTGTCATTTCGTATTTTTGTTATAACTTTTTAATAAACCTCTTATGAGTCTATTTTAACATGACATTTTCTTCTTATTTTTATTTATAGAATATATTGACGTCATTTTGCGGGAAAAGAACACCTTAGGAAGTGAGCATAACGTTATTCGTAAAAGATAGGAAATGTTCACGCGCTTGTGAATTTATGTTATCGTCAAGATATGCAAATTCGTGTAACTTAAAAATTCGCAATGCGTTAAATATGTAAACTATACGCGTATCAAATATATAACAGCCATAAAAATAGGTGAAATATTTTTTTCACAACATATTCCGGCTTATCTAAGTATTTATTTATATTCTTGTATATCTCTGCATAATTTTACTTAATTAAGCATATTTTAACGCACTACACATGGGTTGCTATATAGAATAAATTTTACAAAGAACCTATAAAAACCACTATCTTTTAACCATCCTACACAATAGGTGTTAAATCAAATCACATAAACTATGGTTTATCTTGATACCTACTGTGATTAACTTATACATAGTTTTCTGTGCAGCTAATCTTAAGATTGCGATATTTTTAAAACGATTATAGGCAGAAACAAATGTTGAAGAAAAATTTAATGCTTCGAAATCAGCGTATCATAATAGTAATTATACATATATATATGAATATATGAGCAATATGTGATATATGAATGAAGGATCATTGAACCATATCAATCAACAAATATCTTCATCTCCTATAAGTAATGAGGTACATATGCCAAAAATTACTAGTTTAAAATTTATTTAAAAAATTTATTAATAAAAAATATTTTATTAAAATTGATATAATAAAAATTGAAAAATTTATTACGACTTGTAATTTACGAAATTATTCTAGCACACTATGTTAGCAAATGTAAAGATGACAACAAATGGTTCAATTATCCTTCATTCCACGTTAGGCACGTTATTATCTCCTTTAGATTGTTGTATGGAAGATTTACTTTTATTTGTCACTACACCGAAATAATTCAGTAAATTTCGGATTGTAATAACTTTTAAATTAACAATTTTAAGATACCTTATGTGTAGGTACCCTGATACCTGTTTTGCAGAGGAAATAAAAATGCATCAATCCAGTATATGTAAGAATATAATATCTATTGTATGTAGGAGGTCATGTTGTTTTTTTTAAATATTACGATGAACAAAAATACAAAAAATGTTCCAACAAAAATGTTTTATCATCAATCTTATGCACGGGAATTTACTAGTATGAATTATTTGTAACTTATGGCTTTTTAAATTTCATTAGTAACAGTATTAGCTTAATTTTGCAAAAGAATACTGTACGCTTACCCATATTAATATTCGAACATGCACACTACGTCTGTATTTGTTGTTTTGTAGAATTGTACAATTAAACATTATTGTTAAAAAAAACATTATTTACCTAATTAAGCTACGATATATGAGTTATATCCTCGTAGAGCAGCAATACGATATTTAACTTATCCTCTCTTATACAAAGCAAGATACAAAGATAATGCTATATCTGAATATTAACGTGAGTAAATGTACATATGTGAAACATTTAGTTTCATCCTATAATATTCCATGTCTCCATCTATTCGTGGGTACAATAGAGGGATAAAATAAAAAAATATACATATCGGGCAGATCAAGCTGTCATATTTCTCTAGAATAAACGAGGTTCTTGAATAATTAGAGTCTATGAAAGAACAAAGAACCGTTTGGTAAGAAGCAAACGTCCTAGTCTACATATACGTGCCTTCATGCAAGTTTGCCGCCTCTTTCACGGGAAGTTCAACATTCTTAATTACACGGGCTGTAGAACTTTAAAGACGCCGTCGGAGGTAAGCCTACCCTCCATAGTTCGCCATAGGTAGACACAATGATCGCGTTCGCAGCATTAATTTTATAGGGGAACTTTCGTAATTTGACGCAACAACGTCGGTGAGAATGCGATAGTATCATCATGCTACCACCATCCTCGAAACTTAATATTACACTCCGTATAAGTAATACCAAAATTTGTCATTAAGCGGGATCCTCAGCTTTCGTTTCACTTGGATTACGTACTATCGATTTATCGTATTTGAATTAGATTATTTTACAAGGTGAAACTTTCATCTTGAAATGGTATTTGATCTTCCGTAGACCGATTCACGATCCAAAGTCTGAACAAAATCTTACATTTAATTTTCCTTGAAAAAATTTTTACTTCTTAACAATTTTACTTAACAAAATTTCAACAAAAAAGGAAAGGATTAATAATAGTAGTATGTAGTCAACATTACCTATATGTCACATATTAATGTATTTAGAATATTGAATTGTTGATTATACATTAGGTTTAGTAGCTTGTATTTCGAACAATCGTAAACGAAAGGTTTTCTTAAATTTTTATAGAAATGCTGAATATCCGAAAAGACAGGCAGACATTATATCTTACATATAAACGTAAAGAACTCTTGCCTAGAAAAATTCACAAACCGTTAGCGAAGATGAATGGATTACAGTTGAGGAAAAAAAGTGGGTCACACATGTAAGTAGTAAACAGAAGGAAAACAAAAGAAAAGTAGAGTATTCACGACACGTAAAGAAATGCTGACTTTGCGTCTGCCGATTACTTCTGCTTGGCTGAACACGGCCCGGAGCGTGGACACCGGTTAAAGAGCGATATAACCGATACATTTTTCAAGGGGATGTGCTGTTTCCCGTTACGGAGCTGGAAAATGTTTCAGATGTAACTCTTTAACACGATGGCAGTCATGTGAATTTTTTAGACTTGCTTCCTCGCTTGTTCTTACATCATATACTGCAATGTTACTATTGGATTGGCAAATAGGTGATTGCAGATTTTGTCATTAGGAGGTATTGACAAAGTCCGCAATCACTTAGTTACCAATCTAATACAATGTACAAGTTCATCCACTTCGAATTTTCACGTTATTTTCAAATATAAAGAATTTAAAGAGTGAAACATACAACCTTTTAAAATAACTTAGTGTAAATAATAAACTGAATAATTAAGAGTTATTTATTTATAATATAATTTCATTATTATTTAAATTTTAAACGATAATTCTAGATTAAAATAACACAATTTGTGTAAACACATCAAGGAATTAAAAATTATCATTTAGTATTATTCTAAAAATAATAACTTAAGCGACTTAAAAACATTTATTCATGATACGATTCCAGTGTAATTTGAATACTTATGAAATAATTATGAGGTAACCATTATAGTTCCATTTACACAAACCTGTCCTCAACTAAGAGAATATTGTCCAATAGAATTCCTCGTATTTATCATTTTCTTCTTTTTATATTTGCGTGTAAAATTTATTTCTTTAGTTTGCTGGTATTGCAATGATTATATCAATTACTAACAATATCAAGTTTACCTTAATTTTAAGTCGTGTATTAGATTCATATGCGTAGACCAGATCTATACGAATTTTTAAAGTGTTGAAGATTCAAAGAAATTACTATAATGATGCATATTCGAATAATTCTATAAATGTGAAATGCATGCTAAATATAAGGAAAATATCTTCTTTCTGCCACGTTTCCCGTATTTTTGAACAGTACAATTAATTACAGAACGAATATAAATGCTTGTGCGGTAATGCGAAATTGAAATAAATTAGGAGCGTTAATGAGATTAATGATAATGTAGAAACAAAGCAAATTGAAAGAATTAATTAAAGCTCGGCCATAAATAAAATTCGAAGTGAAAGTCATAGAAGATTTGAATGTATTTATAAAAAGTAACAGCAGATAATTAATTTAAAAAAATGCATCTTGTTTCTTTTCTGAATATTTTATATATTTTTAAATAGCAACTTCAGTACTGTTCAATAATGTACTGTCCTGATATTTATTCTCTTTCTTTGTCAAAATTGAAATATAGAATAATAATTTAGAATAATTAATTTTCTATTGTTGCAATGATGAAAAAGGTTGATAATAATATATTTTGTTTCATTCGTTTCAGATCCAACGGTGTAAAATTTCATATCTGCTCGCAAAAAAATTTTTCAAGGTGAGTCAAAAATGCAATTTAATTCGAAGTTTTTTATTTCAAATAATAGGATTATTTTACATTTTGATTTTTAAAGAAGTTAAATTAATTAATTAGGGGAACGAAACAAAATATCGAAAGCAATGAAACAAATCGATTATTTACTATAGGAAGCATTCTGTAACAGATTGCAGAAACCACAGAGCGTCTATTAAAATGTAATAAGATAATAATATAATTAAGGATAATAATGTACTCTAGACTTTGATCAAACAAAGTAATAAAAACAATTAATTTGCATTTCAGATATTAACGGAATATTAATCAATAATTCAAAAACAAGATGATATGTTAAGTAATTAACGTTTATACGTCATTTTGGACCGATTCAATCGACAAAATTAAAATTTGAATAGTTTAAAACCAAAAACGATGTATGGTGATAGATCTATTTAGTATCTCGTTTGTGTTAAACTATATTAATATCTTAGCCGAAATTTGGTAAAGAAGTCGGTGAATAAATTAAAGTTTTTAAACCTTCAAGGTTTTGCATACTTTTTATATTTTACGCTTAAAGGAATGAAGATTGTGCTATGGTGTACTTATACTACATATGTACTACACGTGTACTATATACTTAAAAATGAAAGGCCTATTTAATATAAGATTGATTATCGAACGGTAATGTTCCTTCATTTCTATTTTATGATTAATGCAACAAAACTTGACTTTTGTTAGTTCGAGAAAGATTGTTAGTTCATTTGGATCTATTAATAGATTGATGAAAATTTTTATTCTTATTAAAGATTTTGACTTTTAAAGGGAAATAATTGGTTTTCGTATGTCGTTTAAAATAACAGTAGGTTATTTCCTAGCTTTTATTTCTAAGGTATAAGAAAAGGAATATCAGAAACCTGGAAAGTGTAGTATTTCTAGCATCAAACAATTTCTTCTTATTTCATCAATCTTGAAAGAAATAGAGACACGAGAACAAAGAAACTTTGAACAGCAAACTCGTTATTAATAAAGGAACGAGATTATACACTGTCGGCGTGTAGCATGAAATGTCTTGGATTAATGAAAGAAAATTTGAATATATTTTAGAAATACAACTGTATTAGAATGATTCATTAAATGCTTAAAAATACAATAAGCTGAAAGACAATCGTAAGAGTTATCCTTTTTACTCTCGAAATCGATATTGTGTAAAGGGGAAATGTAAACTGTGTCCGATAAAACATAATATATAACATAACATACTATAACATAATATAAATATATAACAGCTTAAAATATAATACATTAGGTCTCTCTCACGAAGCCATTATAATTAATATCACACAAGAAATCATTTTTCTCAGAGAGTTAAAAGAATCGACCTTGAAAGGATTAAATAGCAAAGGCATAATAAAAATTCACGTAATAATGCTTCAAAGTATAATTAAATTTCACTTTATTTAAAATAACAACTAAGTTTTAAAACAATAATAAAGCATTAATTTTTTTTAAATTTTGAAAAATTTAATATTTTACTTGTATTGGAAAAAAGTCGAATAGAAAATAAAAAGGATAGAAAAGGCGTGTATATGAGAGAAATAGAAGGCTATTGAAAGAAAACATAAAAGGAATGGGACGTAAAAATTTGGAGTCATGTTGCAATCAAAGTTCTATGTGCCATTGCAAGCAATATTGATTTACCATTCGTACCATTCTATGAGTATAAATATATTTATGGTTTGGATAAAGTCATCTATTGCATTCAATGTCTTTGTCAGCAAATTTATACTTATCCCGCAACTTATAGATCAATAAATTCAATTTTCAAATTATATAGAGTTTAAATTAATCACAGTTTCTGGTACTTGCAATTCGTATTATAAATTCAATCTTTATAAGCAATACTATATCATAAGTAATACTATACTTTTTATAAATAACAATAATAACAAAAAGTAATCTATTAATTGTACGATTAAAGTCACCAGCCATTATTTTAAACGAAACATTTTCTAATTTATATTTCCTTTTTACAAAAATAGCTTCATTCTCAGTTCTTTTTACTCGCTTATATATTTCGAAGAGACTGACGGAACATATAGATTTCGACGTAAAACTTGCGTCTCATATCGTCAATTACAGGCGTCGGGGGTAAATATAAAAGGGGCGATTAATGAAATCGTTCCGCGACTCGAACGATCGCCTTCGCTATGTTATTTTTGTCAAAAGGTTGCACGAGGATTCGTTGCATCTGTTTGCAATATATCAGATCCGAAACAAAATACGTCCGCGAATCTTCTTTGGCGTCTTTTTGGACGACAGCCAACAAACGCAAGCCATTCCATTCGATACAGAGCCCGATAAGTGTTCTCGTTAACCTTTTGAGACCGTACGACTGACAAACTCGAGACCAGGAATCGAGAATATCATAATTCGAAACTAACCGTTGAATACGTAGTTGAATCTACTATTATTTGAAATATTTGTACTGCCTGATTGTTGCTAGACTGTGGGTTATTATGTATTTACAGAAAATTTAAAAGCACAACAACACATAGAATGCATATACAATAGTATGGAAAATATATAAGGTGTACGATATAAGGATCAGCATTTTTGTAGATACTTTTTTTTGTCCTATGAAGCGTTCAAGAGCCACATTAATCAACTTCATAAGTTGAAAAGTACAGAAAAATAATGATGTTACAAACATTATTTTTTGAATTCATCTTGTCATTCATTATTATTTGTGTCATCCTTTTTTCACAGTGTTTATGAAAATAAGTTATTTGTCTCTTGAAAATTAAACATTAATCGTGTATTTGTATAGTGAAATTAAGAAATTAACAAAAGGTTAAGCTGATCAGTTTGACTTGACTCTTGAGAGCCTAACAAAAAATTTTTGCAATTCTAAATAATGTGCTGAACAAAAGAACGAAACTGAAAGATGAAAATGAAAGCCGAGTTTATTATCGATTACAATATGTTAATCTTGGACGAGAAGTTCGAGAATTTGTCAGAAATATTTTTTACGGATTGTTTAATTTACTAGTTTTCGATAAAATTATTGTATCGAATAGAAAATCATTTTCGTTTATTTTCTTATATTACAATTTGCAATGTCGGTACTTTCTGTTATTATCATTATTTCGTAGTATTGGCGTCGCAATTAATTTTTCTTTTCGATTAAAAAGCAAAAACTGAACGAGGATACGTTGAAACGAACCGTATAATTTGAATAAATTCGATGAAGAAATCCAACGATGGCAAGTTACAATTACAAGCAAACAAGCAAATAATTGCTTGCAAAGGTTTACGATTCAGCGGCGTTCAAAGTAACGGTATGTAGTTCTCTCAGTTTGAAATATTTTACGGTTCGAAGTGTAGAAACTAGAGAAAATACAATAAAAATGGGGGGAATTGTTTACGTCATGTGTATTATCAACACTTCCACAGTATTTCTGCTACTTCTTGCTAGTTTATGCGCAAATGCTTTTAACACTTTACCGAATTTATTGCTGAAAGTTTCGTAAAGGTAAGATTGAGTTAATATATCTTTTTGTGTCAAAGGAGGCAGATAAGTAATTTAGGTCGCCACTAATTATATGTCCTTCTGGATGAATGTTCAGTAAAATTTAGTGAAAAAAAAAAGGAATAGAAAGAAATAGATATATTTTTTTATTAAAATTGTATAAATACTGTTACAACGAAAGGAAGCAGAAATAAAGAAAAAATTGCGTAATTTGGATCATAAAAAATAGAGAAATATTATTTTAATTAATATTCTATATTGAAATTGTTTCAAGTGTTTATAAAAAGTATAAGAATGGTAGAATCATATATTTTTAGTAATTTTTACGAAATAAAAAAATTAAATTATCGTTGGCCACGAGTAAGTAAATTGGAAGTGTAAAAGGCATGAAAAAATAATCCGAAAGAGTCAAGTTAAACAGTAACGTCTTTGCGGTTTATTTGAACCAATAATTACTATGTGTCCATTATACATACTTTTTTATAAACCAATCATCAGACTACGAATGTTTATGCATTTATAGGAAATCCGAAGATGCAGTAATACATATAATATATAAATATGTATAAAAATATCCGAAGTATAGTACTCATAATAATATCTAATGGGTGAAATAAATCTATTGAGTTCCGTTTCCTCAATTGTGTTCCTAAAACTATAAAACTGCATAAAAATCCGCAATCCATTATACAGAGATCCATTTCTATTTGCTTTAACTACAAAATGTCTTTAAAGATAGTTAAAAACACGTAATTTCTTGACCGAATCTGAATAAAGTACAAAAAAGGCGGGTTATCACCTCGTTCAAGATTCAAAATACGAAATACGACTAAAAGAAATCCTAATTGTAATAAAAATTAGAGAACAACTATCAGGTTCTCGCTAGTTCTCTGTTAGACTCGATACGAAAGTTTTCTTGGATTTCTATTAGACTTTTGCCAGTGTTATCTTTAGCCACGATGGCACAGAATAGGCCTGTTAACCAGCATATGGCGGCAGAAAGCCACATGACTTTCGTGCCACCTAGGGAAATGATCATTTCGTCGAAAGTCAGCGTGGCCATCAGCGAGATTAACCATCCGAAAGCAACTGCAACGGAGACCACTGGTGTCTTCAGTTGTTCCGGAAGCGTGTCGCCTAACAGA